ATTTATAAATTTTTATGTATATTTGAAGTATTATTAATTTTTTAAAAAAAATTAAAGAGTATTAATGAAATTAGTTTAACGATAATTAGTATTCCATTATATGAGCGGAAGATGGTTAAAAGACGTGTAGAAATAGATTGGTATGAGATAAGTATATAAATATATAATTTCAATGTGAACAAAAAGAAAAAAAATAGGTACTCCTTTCCTACCTACATTATTAATGATTTTTTCCACATAACGTATTTATTTAGTCAATAATATAATTACGCCATAAAACCAGCTACCATTAGTAAATGATTACCCATGCAATTTAAATTATGTTTTATATCTATAGGGTTAAATAAGGCAACCTATTTGTTTTATAATTTTTTTTTAGAATTGAAGCGTATATAAATTTTGAAAACATATGATATACATTATGGTTAAATTATACCAAATATATGGAGGTCGGTATATTATTAAAAAAAATATTCATGAATTCAACAATATTCAAAAACTTTGTATATTATTTTTTAATTCAAGGAGGATTAGAAAAAATTGAAAATTTAAGATTATTTGTTGAATGAAGTACAAATTTAGATATATATAATAAAGCCAAGTTTAAAGTGGTTTTAAGTAGCAAAAAGGTGAGGGTAGGGGGAAAGAGTAGAAGAAAAAGCGGTTGTACACGTGATGAAAGGAAGAAGTAACTCCTCCTCCTCCTCCTCCATTACCATTAGCGTTACCCCTTCCACGTTCCTGCAGAGCTGTCGCTAGGTCCTCTTCCGTTTTGGCTCCACTCCGCGCAATTATTCACTCACTCAACAACACAACCACTCCCCACCCCCCACTCTCTCTGGTTTTTTTTTTCTTTTTCCCTCTCCATTTTATAAATCTCCCCACCCTCATTTCCCTCTTCTATTTTGATGCTTTCTTTCTGATTGCAGAGAAAATGGTGAAGCCGGTTTGGATTTTTCTACTTTTCTGTTTCTTCTCTGGGCCGTTCATGGCTGCTGCTGTTGCTGCACAGAAGAAGACTTACGTCGTGCACATGGCCAAGTACCAAATGCCCCAGACTTTTGAGCACCACTTGCACTGGTACGACGCGTCGCTCAAATCGGTGTCCGACACGGCCGATATGATCTATGCTTACAAAACCGTCGTTCATGGGTTTTCAACCAGATTGACGGCGGAGGAAGCTCAGCGACTGGAGGCCCAACCTGGGGTTCTGGCTGTGGTGCCGGAGATGAGATATGAACTTCACACCACTCGTACTCCTCAGTTTCTTGGACTTGACAAGAATGCAGATCTGTACCCTGAATCAACCTCCACATCGGAGGTTATCATCGGAGTTTTGGATACTGGGGTTTGGCCGGAGAGTAAGAGCTTTGACGATTCTGGGCTCGGACCGGTGCCGAGTAGCTGGAAAGGAGAGTGTGAATCAGGTACCAATTTCAGTGCGTCGAACTGCAACAGGAAGCTGATTGGAGCCAGATTTTTCTCCAAGGGCTACGAGGCGACTCTCGGTCCGATCGACGAATCGAAAGAATCGAGATCTCCGAGAGATGATGACGGACATGGAACCCACACCGCTACCACCGCCGCTGGTTCTGTGGTTGAAAACGCGAGCCTATTTGGCTACGCGTCCGGCACCGCCCGTGGGATGGCCGCACGTGCGAGGGTTGCCGCCTACAAGGTCTGCTGGGCCGGCGGATGTTTCAGCTCCGATATTTTAGCTGCCATTGAAAAGGCTGTGGAGGACAATGTTAATGTCCTTTCCATGTCGCTCGGCGGCGGAATATCTGACTATTACAAAGACAGCGTCGCCTCGGGAGCTTTCGCCGCCATGGAGAAAGGCATCCTCATTTCTTGCTCTGCTGGGAATGCCGGCCCCAGCCCTTACAGCTTGTCAAATACGTCTCCATGGATAACAACCGTCGGCGCTGGAACATTAGATCGCGATTTCCCGGCGTACGTCAGTATCGGCGACGGCAAGAACTTCTCCGGCGTTTCGCTCTATCGAGGCAAGTCATTGCCGGGAACGTTGTTGCCTTTTATTTACGCTGCTAATGCGAGTAACTCTGCCAATGGAAATTTGTGTATGACCGGTACTTTGATCCCCGAAAAAGTGGCCGGAAAGGTCGTGTTCTGTGACCGGGGTGTAAACCCTAGGGTTCAGAAAGGGGCGGTGGTCAAAGCCGCTGGTGGAATCGGAATGGTGTTGGCCAATACCGCCGCGAATGGAGAAGAGCTGGTGGCCGACTCTCATCTTCTACCCGCCTCGGCGGTGGGTCAGAAATCCGGTGACATTATACGGAAGTATCTCATTTCGGACCCAAAGCCGACAGTGACGATCTTATTCGAAGGGACGAAATTGGGGATCGAACCGTCTCCGGTGGTGGCAGCGTTTAGCTCCCGAGGACCAAATTCTATCACTCCTCAGGTGCTGAAGCCCGACATAATCGCCCCTGGCGTCAACATCTTGGCTGGATGGTCAAAAGCAGTGGGACCGAGTGGTTTACCCATTGATGAAAGACGAGTGGATTTCAACATTATCTCTGGAACCTCCATGTCCTGCCCCCATGTGAGCGGTCTCGCCGCTCTAATCAAGGGCGCTCATCTCGACTGGAGTCCGGCGGCGATTCGATCGGCGTTGATGACAACAGCCTACACAGCTTACAAAAACGGCCAAAAGATCCAAGACATCGCCACCGGAAAACCATCCACCCCATTCGATCACGGTGCCGGACACGTCGATCCCGTATCAGCCCTCAATCCGGGTCTTGTATACGATCTAACGGTGGACGATTACCTGGACTTCCTCTGCGCACTCAACTACACTTCGTCGCAGATCAACTCCCTGGCGAGGAGAGATTACACTTGCGACTCGGGGAAGAAGTACAGTGTCAACAATCTCAACTACCCTTCATTCGCCGTCGTTTTCGACGGCGTATTGGGCGGCGGAAGCAGTGGTTCCAGTGTAGTGAAGCACACCAGAACTCTTACAAACGTCGGCTCCCCAGGAACTTACAAAGTCTCAATCTCGTCGGAGACCAAGCTGGTGAAAATCTCCGTCGAGCCGGAATCATTGAGCTTCACCAAAGCCAATGAGAAGAAGTCATACACAGTCACATTCACAACCACGACTGGTTCATCTGCACCGCCGAGCGCTGAAGGGTTCGGTCGAATTGAATGGACGGACGGGAAGCACGTTGTGGGAAGTCCGATTGCGTTTAGTTGGACGTAGAAAGAGGGCAATGAAGAAGATGGGCCTGAAACTTAATGTAATATTTGTCGATTTTCCAGCGAGAAATAGAGCTGGTTTCAATGTTTCTTTTAACATTTTGTTCTTCTACTCTACCCAGAAAAAGGAAAGGAAAGGAAAAATTTAAAAAAAAAAAATGATAATAACAGGAAATTGCGTTTGCTGCTTTCATAATCCCTCGTAATTCTGTTTATCTCTAACTGGGTTTTTGACTTATTAATCAGAAGGCTGTTGCAGTAAAAGCTGGAACCTCTCGAAAAACATTTATTTTGATGTGTACTAAGATATTTATATCGGTGGACTTGTTTATGAGACGTGTATTTTAAGAAATTTATAACATAATAATAATTTTTCAAAATTAATAGTACCATGTGCCGCAGATTTTTTATTTTTTATTTCTTGAGCTCTATGTGTCACAGAACATGGGGGATCATGTCGCATTCATGAAGCTACATACGGATAACACATGAACAACAGTAGCAAGATTTAACATTTAAATTTATGCATTTCCAATCATTTCCCTTGTGGTAGACATACAAAAGCCCACAAAGGGCCCACCATATATTACTTGGGCCAAAACGTGTAAGCCCATGGGCTACAACTTGTAAGCCCTGGGCCACAACGTGTAAGCCCATGGGCCAAGTAATATATGAAATAAGACGGACTAAGCTCCTACAGAACACGTGTCAAAACGCAATATCTCATTTAAATTACTGGTCTATAGTTAGGTTTGAAATTTTAAACCTACGATTTGGAGGGTGTATTTAGAATACGTAAAGCACTCCTTTTAAAATATTTATAACAAAAATTGTTTTTAGGTTCAACATTTTATAAAGAAGCACTTCCAATTACAACAATTTCTTATTTGACAATAATCACATTATTTTTTTAAAAAGCTATTTTTGTTCCCTTTTAAACCATTCATTTTAAAGTTATATGCTACACACTTTAAAATTAAATTATTAAATTTTTTTTGTCAGATTTTAAAAGAATAATGCTCTAGATTTTTGCTTTTATTTTGAAATACTCTTATACTTATATGTATATATAAATGATGAAAATGAGGAGTTGTTCACTTTAGAACATGTCCTTTCTACCTCACCTGGGGCTGGTTCCCATCTTTTACTTTTAAGACACACTCTTCTCTCTTTCTGCCTCACTTTAACTTTATCGATAAGGTTAAAAAGAAGGGAAAAGGGTAAATAAATAAAGAATGGGTTTGGTCCAAAGCATATGGAACAGGAAGATAGGCATATAAAAATAAGATCTCAAATTAAATCCCAAGTCTAAGTTCCAAAGTGCTCTCTCTTTTCTCTGATTTTCTTTCTTTCCTTCCTTTTGAGAAATCTCCACTAAACTCTCAAAGCTGGTAATTTCTCTCTTTTAGCTTCCAAATCATTCACTTTTTGGGAGAAAAATCTTCATTTTCCTTCACTACCCACTTCTGCATGCATAATAATATTACCCATTTCTTCTGATTTGAATCCTTTTCCCCTTTTCTAACTATCTAAAGGGCGCCACTTTGGGGGTCCATTGCACTTCTTTTGAGCCCTTTTTGAAAATTCCTTCCCATCTTCTGTTTTTATAATATTTTCTAGTTTGAATGATCTTGGGTGTTCAACATTATTAATTCATATTTAACATCTTAATCATGATCGCCCATATATGATATATATATATATATATTGAAACCAATCCATTCCCACCATCCAATTATCAATTCCCTTTGCCTTTTCGGTGCTTCCAAATGCTCTGCCTCTTTATAGTCTGTCTCCCTTTGCCTTCACATTCCATCTCTCTCACTCTGTTTTTGGTATCTTCTGTTATTTAACCAAAATCTAATTCCTAGACTCGAAAATGGGGAGAAGCTATGCTAATGAAGGATGGGGCGAAGATGAATTTTACATGGAGCAACTCGACCACGAAGACGAAACTTTATCCTTATGCGATCTTCCCATACATGTAGTCAAAGCCGACAAACCCCATTTTCTGTTCGAAGAAAAGCCCGGAGCCGGCGAGAAACCCATTGCCGCCGCCGACGATGACGAATTTGATTTTGGTTCTTTAGGGGGTTTCAGTAATTCTTCCGCTCAGCCGCCGCCGCAAATGTGTTTGGCCGACGAGGTCTTCTACCAGGGTAAACTTTTGCCCGTTCGCCTCTCTGTTAGCTCTGACACCACCTCCACTGGATTCCACCGCCGGCAAGGCTCAGGCTACGGTTCGTTTGGGAACGTCAGAAGTATTAATAGCAGTGGAAGCAGTAGCAGTAGAAGCCAGTGCTCTTCCTCGAGCGTAACTACTACTTCCATAACAAGTACCTCTGCTGTTAGAAACTCACTGCCCAGAGTCCCGAATTTATTCCACTCCCACCCGAGCCCCAAACCCCAAATTAAGGCCTCGCCTATCACGTTTCGACAGGCGAGCACCGGCGGAGGCCGCCAAATATCCTCCTCCAAGTGGGATTTTTTCCGGTTAGGGGTAGTGAAAGCGCCCGGAATGGAACTACAGGATCTCAAACACCGGAGCAGCACGAGAAGAAACTCCTCCGTCAGCCGAAGCGACAGCGAGAAGGCCTTTATTCCTGCTGCAAGCAACGGGAACAGCGTGAAGGAGATTATGAGGAGACCTCGAGCTAGTGTATCAATAGAGAGAAAGCGCGGGGGGATTCTGAGCGGAGTTGGGTGTAAGTGTTCGGTGGGGTCGACGGTGACGCCGGCGCCGAAGACGGTGGTAGTAAGGAGGAGGAAGGGGAACCGTAAGAAGACTCCAAAAAAGGAAAAAGAAGAACAGGAAAAGTTAGCATTGTCTCGTGATCGAACGTTTGAATGGCTAAAGGAGCTCTCGCATGCATCCTTTCCCTGTGAGGCTTAGACTTAGCCTTAGACACCTAAACTCATCAACAATGCCACGCATGCTTCTAATACTTAATCTCTCTTCCTCTGTTAACAAAAAATGGAGCTCCTTTTTTCTTTCACTTTAATGATAAAATTGGGGAACTCTGATTTATGATTATGGGTAGGTTGGCTTGTTTGTATAATGTTTTTAGTTCACAAATCACAAATTAATGTCTAAAGGGAAAATGATTGTGGCGCAGACGGAGAGGGTTGAGCATCGGCAATGGTGGGAGTCATGAGAAAGAGAGGCGTTGGGGATGGATGATAGTGACTGTCATGATTAAAGTGTAGAATGAACAATGCTTTTATGGGTGAGAGAGCCAATGAGGAATGGAACAGGACAACAATGCCATTGGATCATTCTCGTACTGTTTCAAATTTTGTGATTGCCAAATGTTTTGTCTTTTCAAAAGAAAAGCTAATTTTGGCATAACTTCTTTTTCGGCTAGCTTTGGTTGGTTCTTCTACATTTGGGAGAGTTTTTACCCAGTTTCTAAACTCCAATCAATATATGACCAATGAAATGCATGTAAAATTCTTATCCTAGGCTTATTAGAATGGTGAGATCTCACAAAACATTTCTTTATAAGGACGTGAAACCTCTCCCTAATAGACGCATTTTAAAACAGTGAGGCTGATAACAACATGTAATAGGCTAAAACAGACAATATCTATTAGCGGTGAGCTTGAGTTGTTACAAGAACGGATGGAAATATATCATTTAACCGAGGAAGTCGAAGTGACATTCAACAAAAAGCTAGACCTAATTGCCTATGATCACATCAAACATTTCAATAAAGGAAAAACTGTCTTCCTCAAATATTTCTGCTTTCGCTTGGAACAATATTTATTTTTGAATAATGAAGACAGTGAAACTAACCATCAAATCATAGAGAATGACAAAGGGTAGAAGATCTAACCATGGTTCAAGTTATTCCAAATTTCTAGTGTCAAGAACCTTCACTTGGCTCCATAGATTCCGACTGCATAAATTCAAGCTGGGATGAAGTGAATATGAATGCTGACCATTCAGTTTACATATGAATCATGATGAAACACAAGTATAAAACAGAGCAAGAGACCATATAACGTGATCTTCAAGAACTGAGTGCTTAGTTTTCGAACTAATATCAGTTCATGAAGTGGTTGATAGCAACCTAGCAACCCTTTTTCAAGCAATGTATCCCAAAGCACACATATCAAGGTGTCCTGGCCAAATTTTTCGTTGTGATGACAGCAATACAATACTTGGACTGTATCTACTTAATAGTCATATATATTAAAAAAGAACATATAGACTTAACAGATGCTCAACTGGAAAAGAAAAGAGTGTATGGAAGGACTCCACCAAAATCCTGTCTCCACCTAATAACACAAAGAAAAATCCATTAAGGAAAAAGTGCACCCCAAGGGGACAACAAATGCTCTGACCCCTCTACTCTCTTTGGTTCTCTTTCTGATAGATTCTGGTTTACACTTCTAGCCCATTTTAGTTTTCAAGATTAGTACTCATTTAGATTTTCAAGACGGCTTGTTTGCAACTTGCGTCATGGAAGGAAATAGCTGCTGTATTGAAAGAAAGCATGGAACAACACGCCTGGCATAAATGATAGTCTACACAGAACAAATAAACCAGACTATAAGTTCTCTTTATATTCCTCTTAATTTCTTCAGCTTGAATTGGTTTGTGCCTATCTATAGATAATATGGACATTTTCTCGTTGAGTTTGGGGCCGGTGGTGGCTGGTTCAGGTGCTAAAGTTTCAGCCCTATTGTTGAATGCTCTAAGTGCTTTTTATTGGAATCTATGGATTGAAAAAAAAAAATTAATATTTTTTCAGGACAAATACAGGACACTTAGGATTTTTTTGGCTGAGCTCACTTTTGTAGCCTCCGATTAGAATTTTCAGCGGTACAGCACCCTTTTTCCACCACAAAATGACCCATAAGATAAAATCCAAGCTCAATAAGATGGAAATACTCTTATATACAGGCACGATAAGTCCAACATACAATCCATATTATCCAAAACTTTTGTCAGGTGGATGGAGTACTTGATTCCCTTGCAGAGGATTTACGCTAGCATCATCAAATTTCACTAGCTGAACTACAACGCCATGATTTTGATAGGACAAGCCACTCTACTTTTAACAAAAGACCAATGGAACCAATGAGCACAAATGAGAATTCAACATTAAGAGACGTCAGAGTTCCAGGGATATATTAAATTGAAACTAAGAAAAAAAGAATGCACAGATATCGTTTCCAATCCCATTTCCCCCAAGAACGGTCTTTTGCAATAACATTAAAGAGTACTCCGGGCAAAACGTATCAAACTGTTGATAAAATAGCTAGCCTTCAAATTCAGACAATCGATAAATACTTGCAAAGAACAAAACGCATACCTAGAGTTTTAGAAAATGTTGCATTATTTTTCCCCAATTTAATTACCCACAATAAGCATCCGAAAACAACAATGGCACGTTCACGAAGGAATAAATTCCAACTCCAATTATGTGATCAAAACTTCTTTAATTGCTAAGAACTTTTCAGTTCCCTAAATTGAAAATCACAAAATTTCAACATATAGTACTCAATGCCTACAAATCCAGAATTAACAAGCACTTCTTCAATAGTACGTTAAAAAGGGAACCTGGATCATGAGCCTTGTAATCAATCATCATCCTCCCTCTTCTTTGGCTTCCTGTAATTCTCTTCGATGTGTTTGGCCATCACAAGCCCAGTATTGGCGAGCTTCCTAATGTTGGGAACGTTGTAATTTTGAGCGATGTAAATCCCTAACACAGTTCCCGCTATAAGGGAGAAGCCACTTCTGATAATGCCCATCGGCGTCCTTCTTTTTCGCCGGAGCCTAAGATTATCAGCAAGTGGAAAGAGGATAGTTTTAGGGCACTGAATTAATCAGCCCACCACAACGACTTGTATGCTCTTCCCTTGTCGGCGCGCTAAATTTATCCTGTGAGGGTTTATCGGTTGAACTCGCCTGTCAGTCTCCGATGGCCAGCCGATCCCTTTCCCTTGCTCTCCGCGTTCTTCTCGATCTCTCTGGGTTTCTCTTCCTTTCTCTCCGTCCCTCTATTTGTATTGGTGCGACTTCGAGCCTTTCTTGCTCTGCACGGACCAAAGTTGTCCGGCCCTTTCTGTAAAAGAAAATATAATAAATAATAAATAAAATTGGAAGGAAATTGTTGGGCTTTTTTAAGGATTCCAATATTCTCTCCTTAAAATGGGCCAAATCGGTTCTTTCCTTCAAATGGGCCAAACCGGTTAATCACTATGGGCCAAATCTCTTATGAAGATCAATTGATCCAGCCCAGTAAGGCCCATACGTGAGGATCAACCATCAACTGTTACGATAATAATAGGTTCTTTATTTGCTTAGATACGTTCAAATTGTCATATAAATTATTATTTGTTTAGATAAATATGAAATTTGAGGAAAAGTATTTATATCATATATAAACTTTACTATTATTATTTAAATATATAATATAAATAGACATTAATTGAAAGTAGTAAAGAAGTAAATCATTATTAATTTTAAAAACATAAACAAAAATTGAATTGACATTTAGCATCATATATATATTTTGCGCTTTCACCTTATTTCCTGGTTTTCCGGATAAGTTTTAATTTTATTTAATAGTCACGGACTTTTCATCAGTATTATATTATTTAGAAAAGGAATTGGTTAAATTTAAAAAGAAAAAAAAAAAAGAGAGAAAGTGATGTTTTAAATAAAATATTAAAGAAAAAGGAGCATAAACTGTACATATTAAAGTAAATGTCCAATTTTTTATTATATTTAAAACAATATTTTCAATATTATATCAGAAAAATGCTGGACGCACGTGGCTGCAGCGGAAATGTTACTTTGGTAAGCGTTCCAATAATACACATTTGGGATGATTTTTCTTAAAGCTGCCCTACGCCTGCCCTACCCAAAAAATAAAAAATAAAATAAAATACACACAAGATATAAGTAAATCAAAATAGATAATTAATTACAAAAAATTTAAAACTGAAAATAACAATTATAATAATTAGTTTTAAGTTCATGCATTACCAAAACAAAATTATGGACTTTAGGGATATTTTTTTATAATTTACTAAACTATGTTCAAATTCAATAATACTTCATGTATATAAGTTGCTTTTAAAACCATAATTTTGGTTCATCTCCACAAAATATTTGATAAAATATTAAAACGTGGGGTTGGGTAGTTAGAAATTACATAAAGATATTTTTTATTTTATAAATAAATTATTTCCAGTAAATATTGAAAATAATAAGTTAGCAAATTAGAATAATGAATCAACCAATTGATTTGACGAGTAACGTGTATAAGATTAATTACACAGTTACCTTTTTTTCAAGTTAGGAATCACCTAAACCTACAAAAACATAAAGCCAGTTTGAAAAATTATTGGCCCCACCTTCAATAGTATGATTCAATAATTCTAAAAAATTATTAATTTTATCATACAATTATAAAAAACACATTGACAATTATTGAGTGTTTATTGTGAACTAACAAGACTATATATAGAAATCAACCAAACAAAATAAATATTCGCTATAATAAAATGTCAAAAAAAAAAAAAAAAAAAAAAAAAAAAT